CCTTTACATTATTCTTCCCAGCATCCCAGCGCGGTTCAAACCCCAGTGATTCGCAATATGAGCTTCCAGACAGGAGGCTCGAGCAGCAGCAGCAGCAGTAGCAGTGCTGCTGCTGGCCGGCAACCCCCGGCGCCACCGGTCAACGAGCCGAGTAGCAGCAGTAGAACTCCGCCTTCAACCAATCTTGCTCCTCCATCTCGAGAAGAGCAGCTGCGAGCATGCGAACTCGTGCGCAATCGACCGAAGGTGGAGAGGCCCGAGGGCTTCGTGCGTAGCATACTTCGAGAAGCGGACTTATTACCACCAAGTCGAGCGAAGAAAGCAATTGTCTTTGGAGTCTGGAACTCGGAGGGAACTGCCATTCGCGTGCATCCGACACGAATACCACTGTTGCGGGTACGTCATTGTCAGACCAGACAGAACGGGAGCAAACATTGCATCTACAGTCTGCGGTCGCATCAGTACATGGCATCTCACAACGCAGCGACAGCACGAGCCGAGATCGAGCTGATTGCCGAGCAGAAGGGTTTGTTGTACGAGGACAAGACCGGGATTCGACGCATCAAGGGCGGTGAAGCGCGCATCGTACCAGGAACTGATTATGCATCGTATTCATTCTGGCCCAGTGGACACATCAGCACTCACAACAAAATTCTACCTATGCGAGTGAAGGTGCGACAGCTGATTGAACAGGAAATACAAGCTGCCGGCGGAGCTGGCCCTGTTGTACTGTCGGATGACTTCGACGTCAACATCAGTGCGGGCGATCCCACTGGAGACAGTACGCCGAGGAAGCGCGGGCGACTACAGTCGTTGTCCAACACAACACAGAGGAGTCACTCAGCTGATGACGTGCCGTACTATGATGGCCCTACTCTGTTCATGATGAGTGGCTCTGGGACAGATGCCGAGATGCTGTCAGACCCGAATGACCGCGATCCACCTGATTACGAGGACGAAGAACTAGCAGCTGGGTATCTGCAAGCGATTCAGGGGACTCCTGAAGGGGACACGCGAAATGACCGACGACGGCCAGATCCGACGGTGCGATCACAGGACAGTGATGGCGCGGACGTAGAAGCCGCACTGGCTGGCATGATGGACACACCGCTGATTACGACTGAGACCGGAACGAATCACGAAGGTCGACCACCGTTACCTGCAATTCCACTCAGCAGTGGAGATTCGGATAATTTGAATCCGGGGGAGAGCAGCACCGGCGCGTTCATCGGAACACCACCGCAAGAGCAGATGAGGACCGAGAACGTCGGGTCGACAACATACGCACGTCGTATTGGCATGTCGCCTGAGGAGTATGCGTCAGTTAACCGCACCATGACCGCGACGTTTGGGTCCACTCAGTCCGGACCAACTTGGAATCAGCCTCCGATGTGTCCACCGATCGTGACTTCCTTTCCTGTGCATGAGGGTGGATCGCGTCAACCACCGGTGAACAACACAGTGCCATTCGCGGGACTGTCTACATCAACCGGGGCGGGACAAACATATACGCTAGCACCAGTGCAGACTTCAACACAGCCACGAGACGATCGAGACGCAGTTTACGCATCCTCGGTTCCGACCAACAATCGGACCATGACAGACGCTGGTGACCTCGGGTTGATGGCGGATTCAACAGTTCCACCTCCGCCTCCAATATCTCGCAATGCCAATGCAGCTCGACTGAGGGCAGCAGCCGCCCGTATGGCTGCGAGTGAGGAGAGACGACGTCGTGACGCTGCCGAGGGATTGGTTTGGTATCCACAGGGTGCAGGCCCACATGATGACGCAATCGCCTTTTCTCTTGAGCAGTTAATTCCACTTAATCCAGGATTGGACAACGCAAATCGCGAGATCAGAGCGGTGCTCGGAATGGCGCAACACAGCGTGACTGAGCTGAACAAGACAGAGTGGCGTGCGGTCGGCACACTCGCGCACCTGATTCATCATTTGCGACAAGATGGTCTCAATTCTATGGTGCTCGCGGAGTGGCTAACTTCGTACGCACAATGGACAAAGTTCGACGGTTCCAACTGGGTAGGCGGAGCGGACGGCATTACGGTACTGCAAGAGAGTGAGCATCCTGGTACGCTGATATGGAACTGTGATAGCGTGGAAGAGCAGTACGAGCAAACCGCAAGAAACAAGGTCTGGTTGCGCGCGTCTATTGGAGTGACGGTTTGCGATTATGTGCAATACATGGCACGACAGTCCGAATACACGGGTTCGACACTCGCACGATATTTCCCGTTTGCAGAAAATCGCGCACCCCCGATGAAACGGATTTGTCATGTCCTCACCAGCGACCAGCAAGTGCGGAATCAGCAACAGCCAGCCTACGACCGAGAATATTTACGTCGTACTCGAGCACAGAGCACTGGATGCCGGATTCGGTTCGTGCACATAACGGAAGGTGAGGCTCGGGATCGTGATATGGAGTCGACAACGTCATCGATACAGCGTGCGGATCGTCGAGTAGCAGCGCATCTCGCTCAACAGACTTCGGCGGATCTGCAGTTCCACGAACACGATTACTTCGGGACGACGAGTTCGGCCAATGCAAATCAGAACAGTGGACTGAGAAACAGTGCACAACCTTCTAGTCTGAACGCGATGAACACGAATGTCTTTAATAACGGTTCTCTGCTACTACCTACGGCTACGGTGAACGGCGAAGGCACCCCTCGGACGAATGCGGTACAGAGGATTGAGGAGTCCATCGTCACGGCTCAAAGTGAGAGCCGCAAGTTGGGCGAGCTGATGCAACTGTTCGGGAACCGAGGACAACGGCATCTTCGACAATTGGAGGATGCGGGGGCAACTGGCCCATCCATCCAGCTTATCAACAGTAGCATTGAGAAGCAATACGCGGAACTGTTAAAGATCAGTCGACTTGTCGGAATGTTCGTTCTGTTCAAGCAGGACTGGCTGGAGGGACGGCGCCGGATGAATCAGGATGTCGATCAGACAGAGATTCCACTGGTACAACAAGAGCTTGGAGTACTGCAACAGCAAGTTGAAGACGCGCGTCACCGAGTCACGGCGGTGGTGAAACAATGGGACAGCAACAAATTCACCAACTTGCCGAGTCTGGCGACCGATGTGAATCCATTTTCACAAACGATGACGGCCAACTCCGCCAAGCAGAACAATCCGTTTGGCGTGATGCCAAGCGTTCACACCACTGCAACGACGACAGTTCCTACATCCGGACAATCGATGTTGCCGAGTAGTGGAGCTACCCAGCGACTTCAGCAGAATGACCAGATCAATATCGCGAATGATCGACAAATGCGATCCGGACTTGGCGAACCGATGATCTCTCATCGTCCACTCAGCACCGGGCCAGTGCAGACGATCGGGAATACTGCCGACCACAGCGGTGTGTCACAGCAGCGACTGACCCCGCTTGTGGGATCCCGCACCACGGAAGGGGTAGGTGGCATGCCAACGAGTAATCACGTGACTGATCACCGAGTATCAACTATTGATCGGGGAGCACCGCCGAACATGCAGCGTCCATCTACAGGTGTGTGGTTTCCGGGAGTGCACGGCTCGAACGAAAACTCGAGTGGGCCGAATCACAACACAGTCCGAGGCGGGGAATATGGCAGTAGGCAACATGGGCAAGCGACTACATCTGGATCGTTCAACTACGCAGACAATCGAGGTCGAGCGCCACATGTCGGAAGTGGCGAGTCGGCAGCTCAGCGTAGCGACTCAGCTCAGCAAGGAGGCGGTGATGCTCAACATGGCCAGTTCGAGAATCGCAACTGGTCGAACGACCAGTATCATCGATCGGACAATGTCGCACCCATGGCGTCACACAATCTTTCATCCATGCTGCCAATGGCGGGATGCAGACCAGATTACACCAACGCGAACATGGAATCGAACCGCCAAAATGGGATGCAGCAGGGCGTTAACGCAACGAATTATGACAACCGTAGACACGAACATGCCGCGCAGCCGCATACGAACTCGACGCGCCAAATCAACTTCCAGGAGGGATCTGCTGATGCACCATGGTATAACAACGATTCACAGCCACCGGCGTATAACAGCGAATCCCGCAGCGGTGGCTGGCAGGGTGGTTGGTACGGAGCCGCCGGAGGTCAGCAGCACAACAGTGATTTCCGGGGACCGAACTCAGGCGGGGGTAATCAAGGTGCAGCAGATCTGCAATTGATACCGCAGACGCGAGAATACGACTCCAACTTGAGGGATGCGGCCGGACAACTCGTATTTCCGGCAGGCTGGCACCCAGCTCTACCACCCTCAAATGGCAATGGACGGCCACTTGCCATGCAGCGCATCTATGACTACGGTCCAATGGCGATTGACGTATGCTTTCTGGGACCGTTTTATCAGAGTTTGCGGATTGAACTGCCTTTCAATCGGATCGAAGAAGAGCATATGAGTCAGGCGTTTGTGAGGAACGGTACCAGGTGGAATTTGCAATTGCTCACAGAACGACTAGTGGATTACAAGACGTTGCAACCTGTACTCGATTATCGAACTCGTGCGCCTTGCGTACGCGCAGTCACGTACTTGATCGAAGAAACTATTGCGACGGAGGAGTTGCAACTGCGCAACAAGCCGACGTGGTTTGACCGGGACAGCGCGGTCGACGCTGTGCTTGTGGCGACCAACGCAGAGTCGAAGACCGCGTTATGGTCGGCCGCACATCTGCAGAAGACGAATTGGGCGAATATGGAAGCTAATGTCGAAGCTATTTACAATCATCCCGACATAGATACGGTCATCGCTACCATGAAGGCGAGCGTTGCGCTGGGTGGGTCGCTGCGGCTAACGCCACGCCGATTAACCAAGGATGACAACAAGACTTTCAACCTCACGGCGGAGCAGAGTGGCGAGATCGCCAGCATCACGTTAGATTTGTTGCATCGAGTCTTCAAACCGAGAGACGGACAGGATGTGCCTAAGACTTACGAGCCCTACGTCCGGCTGTTTGACGCCGCAGCACAGCAACAGGGATACGATGATGAGCAGAAACTCAAAATGTACAACAGTCAACTGCGACAACAACTTGGTCGACGAGGAGGTCAAGGATGTCGGCAAAAGGATGTTCGACAACGTTTGGCACAGTTTGCCGAAACGGCCTTGAGTGACCTAGCGCAGCTCCTGAAACCGACTATCGAGGCCGGACCTAATGCCGTCAATGATATTCGCAGTCGAGCAACTCTGACCACGGCAAACATCATGATGGCTTTTATCTCTGCAGTAGAAGACGCACCAGTTGAGATGTTATCCGACGCCATGCTGCTCACCGTCGTTCGAACTATAGTCACAGCGTGGCTGTTCCGGTTTACCGATGTTAAACACCAGACCAAAGCCTACTTACGCTACATCGACAAATACGTTCACGACTCTTATAAGCCAGTTGAGCTTCTTCATGTAATGTTCGCCTTTGCGTACCAGATTGTTGCAGATGCTGATGTAATGGACACTCCACTCGAGCAGTTACATGGAACGGCTGCAGACATCGCTGAACGACTTACTGCAGTATTACAAGTGCAATTTCAGTGTACACTTTATCGCAGCACCGCACCGCTGATTGCGGCACAAGAAGGGCATGACACGAATAGACAACGGAATGCGGGGCCACCACTTCCAGCTGCAAATGCTCAACCACAACAACAAGCAGAGTCGAACATCAACACTCAGTCAAGTGCGACAACGTCGGCTGCGTCGAACGCTCAGCCACCAGCAGGTCAGGTTGATGGACCTGCGACCAGCGCTAATAGCGGATATTCCGGTGGCTGGGATCGTCACGAATCTACCACGAGACCCGAGTACGGACAGGGGAACTCAAGTGCGTCTGGTAATGCTGACTACAATTGGCGGGATGATCGTCAGTACACGTCCGGCAGTGGAGCTGGCAGTGGTAACTACAGCTCCGGACCCTCGGCTAATGCGGTACCTAGACGATCCGACTACTCGTCGCGGTCACAGACTGCAACTAGCGGACCACCACGGCATATGTATGGAGGACGTATGAATCAACTTGGAGATGACCATGAGAGACACAACTACAGCACGGGCCTGGCTCCGCCACAACCTATGCCTACCAACAGCACGACTTTGAGTCACCGCACTTTGAACACTCCATACTACGACACTTTCTACGTTCGTCCCGAATGCAAGACAGACTTGCGTTACATCATTGATGGGGGTGACGCCCGAGCAATCAGTGGTGGCATGGAGCTGTATCTCACGCAAATGCTCAACGGGGTGGACCCTGCCGATTGGCCGCAGCACCTGCGCGATATCGCAGCTCGCACCGACGAAGGCAAATTGGATTGGTTGAAGCCTAATCAGTACGCGCGATTACTTGGAGCGCTAGTCGCAGCCGACACGGACCCAGAGGCACGCTTCGCGGGCGACAAAGGGGACCGACGTAACGTCGCAGACCTGATTGACAGGCACGACTACCTAGTACAGCATGAGGGATATGGGGATGTGATTCAACGACAACCGCCCATCGACAGTCAGGTCAGGAAGATGCAGTGCTCGGCATTGACACAAGATCTCATCAAGAATCACCTGAGGCCGAAAATTCATGCGAGCTTGGACAACGCGCGGCATGGCGTGGCTCCAGAAGAATATCGAGTCGAGGAGGCAGTCACCCACAGTCTAGGGTTGAATATCGCGCCAGACATCCCTGCTGTAGACCGCTGCCTACAATCTGGGGAACTACTGACCGTCGAGTTGCCATCGCTGCTGGAAGCGTCAGCTGATGAAAGCGGAGTACCACCGTTCACCTGGCTCGACATACATGAGGGAGCCATCTTGTCGAACTGGCGTACGCCGGCTACTAAGACCACCAAAGCAGAGTGGAAAAAGGAAAATGCGGGGATGCGGTTTTTGACGTCTGCTCGTAAGAACGGCGAATGCTATGCAGTAGTTACTCGTCCAGGAGCCACGCTTCCAGCATCCGAAAACGACCGACGCGAGTATCCGGTCGCATTCCAACTCTGCGGTAATGGTCTCATGTTTGGTCGGTGTCCGGCACACGCGGTGTGTCCAGCGATACACACGGTGGGCGGACTAACAGAACAGCATTGCGAGTTGTTGCGCGAGAAATTAGTTGGTGTCACATGGAAAGCATGGAAAGATCCGAGCAACAGTCGAATGGTTAGCGATCTGAACCAAGCCTGGACGAATGCTTGCGCTGCCGTACAAAAACAGGCTCAGACGGGTTTGAACAGTGCAGTCGATGCTGAAGATGCGAATATGGATACGAAACAAATCAACAACAAATACGGTTTTGACGTGGTATGTCAACCAGTGGATCAACCGACCGCGAATGCGTCAGCGCTGATTACGCGTCGATGCCCTGGGACCGATGAATACCTGCATGCAGACGCACGGTTGTACTTCCCCGGCGACTTCAAGGCACAGCCGAAGGGCTTGAAGGACAGAGTATTGCACCGTGAAAGACTCTCGTTGTATGATGTCATACCGGATGTTTTCCCAGGCCACAACAATCGACGAAATCCGAACACAGGCAGATTAGCCGGGCCGAGTGACGGACCGCACAATGGTTGGGGTGGAGCCAGCCAGGGAGCGAACAGGGGCAACAACAGCAACAACAGATATGGCGGTGGTGGCTACGGCAGTAGTAACAATTCAGGTGGCTGGGGCAGCTGGAATCGCAACTACAACAGCGGCGGCCGAGCAAACAATGATGGCAACTGGAGAGACGCAGCCACTAACAACAACTATACGAACAACGTCAGTAGTAATTCCGCGACGACGGGTTTTCGGTCCGCGCCGAATTAAATTCGGGTAAGACGGGACAAGCAGATCCGCGGGGAGAGGAGTCTGCAGACAAGAGAACGACCGACGCGGATAAAACATCGATCATAGGGTCAAATACTACTCATCAGAGTACAACACAGGCTGAGTCTGCAGTCGCAGAAACGACGTCGCCACCTCCACTTGTTGGCTCGACCGAAGTTTCACACAACAGCTTCGCCGGGACTGCAGTTGCGCCGATGCCTGCGGTGACTGCTACCAGTGATCGAGCTACAGACGACGAGGCTCGTTGGTCTGCCAATGTTGAAACGGCTGTTGGTGTCAAGGTCGAGACTCGGCAGTCGGTTCCCGATAGCACCGCTACCACGACAGGCACTCTCCAGCAGTTGCGCGCACTCAGTGATGCCGAAGTAGCGGCGTTCCGTGCTAAGTATGATGTTGTCTACGAACTAGATTTGGATTCGCCGGACGCCGACTTACCCCTGCCGCAATCAGTGACTGTAGAGGGTGGACAACTACTTGAATTGGGCAACGTCGGCGTACGGACAACAACTGATAAACCGGACGTTGCAGCCGTCGATGCAGAGATCGATGCGACGCATTGTCGTAGCAGTGTGACCGCGTTGAAGCAGTATCTAGCGAACGCAATTGAGAAAGAGAGGCTCGCGCAGCGAGAGGCTAAGGTTCCTGAGGCGGAAACCGACATCACACTTGCAGTTACAACGTCTTTAGCTCACCTAACAGAAGTGCCGAACTCGCCATTTGTTTATCAGCATGAAGCTCTATGCGTGCGGACCTCTACTGACACCATACCGATACAAACTGAGACTCAGGCGCGGATGGACAAAATGGGACAGAACAAGTACGGCGAGGGCTTCAGTCCTGCAGTGCTTTTCCTTCGAATTCAGGATCCTGACAATGCAAAGTTGATCAAGACGGTGTACAGTCAATATACCGATCGGGACACTCAGAGGTACTACTTCAGTCAGTCGCCCACGTCACTAGGTCTCGACGTTGCACCTGCCATCGAGCGGCGCGGCGGGCTGCTTGAAAGTGAGATCACGCTGGATCGGCAAGTGCTTGCGCTCGAAGCAGTCGGGACACATCCGTTTTCGGATGCGTTGCTACGAGGTCGCGGTGTAGATCGTGTCGCTGATCTCGCGACGCTACCCTCAGCTACCCGTGCGGTGCTGCAAAAGCTTGACGATGCTCAACAAGGGGCGGCACTGCGCATTCTAGCGCCTCGCAAGGTTGACGAGTTTGCGAACATCCACATCGAAGGTCCACCTGGCACCGGCAAAGCCGCTTTGTTCAAAGCCGTCATTGTCGGTCATCATGCAGCAGTCGAACAACACGAAGCCTTGCACCAGCGCTTTCTGTGCTGCTCGATGGAGAACCTTGCCGTTGACGATCTTTGCGAGTCGCTCAGAGGTACCGGCATCGAGGTTTTGCGTGTAGTGTCTGACCGACGATCGCGTGAGGTCACTGCGGTCACAGTTGCCGATATACGATACCTAATCCGGATACTAGCATACTCGGGGAGTCGATCTATTTTCCAGAACTACGTTACGCTTGAAAATGACATCACAGCGCTTGAGTCGAAGCTACGCAACCAGACGCATCCACGTACAGTGCGACTGCAACAAGAGACGTTGTTGAGCGACAAAAAGCAAGAGCTGCGCACGCTGCACAAACGGATAGTGCAATTCGTCACCGCCAACTCGACTGTAGTCGCAAGCACGACCAACAACAGTTACCAGTGGGAGAACGCGTTTGACGTGGTCATCAATGACGAGAGTAGCAAATGTCCAGAAGCGGAAGCGCTGATACCCATGATGACCTTGCGACAATCAGGTGGCGTCTATGCAGACGTGGGTGACGAAAAACAGCTGACCGCACGGCACCTGAGTCCGCTGTATCGACATTCCCACCGCAATGCGATCAACCGTGACTGCGATGCAACGTTGCTGTACAACTACCGGAGCGACCCACTGATCGTCAAACAGTTTAACCAACACACTTACGACAATAGACTCATCGCGAAAGGCCCTGTCAAGGCAGCTCGACAGTACAAACATCCGCTCATAGTAGTAGTGTGTCCCATTACTGGGCGCGCAAGCAAACATGAGAATCAAGCGGAGACCGATGTGTTGCAAAAGTGGGTCCGCGAACTCCGCAACTGTGGCGTACCACCTCACGATATTGTTGTTGCATCGCCGTATCGTGCGCAGACCGCTCTAAACTGACAGATCAAGGATACTCCACGAGTGTCGGTACTTGATGTGCAACAAGGAAATCAAGGTGAATGTTTCGGAATCGCGCTGGGTGGAGCCAGGTATACGAGTTTTCTCACTGATCGTCGTGTTAACGTCATGGTCAGTCGGAGCGAATCGCAACAGCTGATTACGATATCCGAAGATATGCACAGCGATTTGCGCAGGGCACATCAAAACAAGTTTCTGGCCAAAGTTGTCGATTTTCCAGAGGCAACGATCGTCACTGCAAAAGACTTTCTGCACGACACTGCCACGTATTGTGCAGTTGCTCAGACTCATACGGGCCGCACGGTGCGTCCGACCATGGTTCAGACCGCCGCAGAACTCAAGAAACACACTCTGGCAGATCCGTTAACACGACGTATTACTGCATGCCTCACAATGCGGCTACCTGACCGAGTTCGACCGGCTTTTCTACGTATACCGCAACGGTTCAAGTTTGAGAATCTCCCTCACTACACGGAGATGG